ATAGTTCTTCAGGCACTCTGTCTATCAGATCTAATTCCTTAAATCTGTCCATAGTTCTTCAGGCACTCTGTCTATCAGATCTAATTCCTTAAATCTATTTGTCACCTCTACTGTATATTCATCAGGGATATGATTTAGGTCATACCTGAGTGGCCTAGAGCTTTTCCCTACTTTCTTCAATTTAAGCCTAAATTTTGCGACCAGTAGCTCATGATCTGAGCCACAGTCAGCTCCTGGTCTAGTTTTTACTGACTGTATAGAGTTTCTCCATCTTTGACTGCAGAGCACATAGTCAGTCTGATTTCTGTGTTGACCGTCTGGTGATGTCCATGTGTAGAGTCATCTCTTGGATTGTTGGAAAAGAGTGTTGGCTATAACCATCGTATTCTCTTGACAAAATTCTACCAGCCTGTGCCCTGCTTCATTTTGTACTCCAAGGCCAAACTTGCCTGTTATTCTGCTTATCTTTTGGCTTCCTACTTTAGCATTCCAATCCCCCATGATGATAAGGACATCATTTTTGGGTGCTAATTCTAGAAGGTGTTGTAGGCCTTCATAGAACTGGTCAACTTCAGCCTCTTCAGCACCAGTGGTTGGGGCATAGACTTGGACTACTGTGATGCTGAATGGTTTGGCTTGGATTCGAACTGAGATCATTCTGTCATTTTGGAGATTGTATCCCGGTACTGCTTTTCCTACTCTTTTATTGACTATGAAGGCTACTCTATTTCTTCTGAGGGATTCTTGCCCGCAGTAGTATACCTGATGGTCATCTGAATTAAATTCACCCTTTCCTGTCCATTTTAGTTCACTGATTTCTAAGATGTTGATGTTCAGTCTTGTCATCTCTTGTTTGACCACATCCAGCTTGCCTTGATTCATGGATCTTACATTCCAGGTTCGTATGGAGTATAGATCTTTACAGCATTGGACTCTCCTTTCACCACCAGATACATCTGCAACTGAGTGTCCTTTCGGCTCTGACCCAGTCACTTCATTCTTTTTGGCGCTACTAGTACTAGCCCTCCACTCTTCCCCAGTAGCATATTGGACACCTTCCGACCTGAGGGGCTCATCTTCCGGCGTCATATCTTTTTGCCTTTTGGTACTGTCCATGGGGTTTTCATGGCAAAGATACTGGAGTGGGTTGCCATTTCCTTCTCCAGTGGATGAATACCCCTACCTATAAAATGTGGGAAGTTCAGTTCTTTGGGAAGTTCAATTTTTGTAATTGTCCATTCACACAAAAGCTTTGGTTCAACATAGTGGAACACAAGGGCTTCTGCTGTTCTTCCAACATACTATTTCCAAGCCAATTCCAGTTTGAATGCATTTCTCTTTCTGCAATTGAGACCACCTCATCTCTCAATAATGGGAACTCTCAAAGCGCCTCTGAAGAGGATCACAGTATTTAGGTTGCTTCATGTAGAAATAGGTGACTGTTTGGACACCCAGACCTTTGTTATCCAGAACTTTAAAGATTAAGAACAGCACTTTGCATTTTGGCTGGAAATTGCCTGGTCACTTGTAAAGCTGTTAAACCACTAGCTGAGGCAAATTCTTTCCTTGGGCATATTCTATCAGCAATATTCTGAACTAGTTGAAGTTTCTGGATAGTCCTCAGAGAGAATGGGAATAAGGCAAAACACGTTCAGATAAGTTTGTGGTATTTAGAGGTTTAAACTATATCTTTTAAATCATATAATAGAATGAATAAAAGTATGTAATAGAAGTATATAAATTTTCTGTCAATAGAAGAGTATAAATCTCAGACGTTTTACGCGGGTTCTTCAAAGAGTTTCCGCACTTTTAAAAACTCTATTAAAAATTTCAAAAACAAATTACATCACTCCTCTACATAGCCACCTTACTTTGCAATGCCTTTTTTCCAGTGTCATACCAACTTTTTAATGCCATCAGCAAAAAATATATAAATTTATAAAATATACAAGTGTTGAAACTTTGTGAAGACCCCTCATATATGCATTTTCATGAAATTAAGATACAACATTGTGTGAGTTTACAGAGAAAAAAATTCTATTAAATGCAGTGCAGCTCTTTACCCCCAGAACGATTTTATATTGGGTGTGACAAATCAGTACTTTTCTTCCAATTGAGCAAACCTTAGTGACAGTTTGGTCCTTTATTGCTCCTTTTCTCTTCCATGGAGAATTTTTGTTTTAATAGATAATAGTATTCTGAACAAAGTGTTAAGGATTTGTTGTCATTTGTTAATATGAGCAGCTGTGCAAATGTTGGGTATGGGAAGGCTCTTTCACATCATCTTATTAATATCTAGATGTGACTACACAGGTTTGCATGCTATACCTTTCACACTAAGCAGCAATAAAATGTTAATGATGTGTTGCTTTTTAGGAGTACTTCTGTATGGTCCTCCAGGTTGTGGTAAAACCTTGATTGCCAAAGCTACAGCAAAGGAAGCAGGTTGTCGATTTATTAATCTTCAACCCTCAACACTGACGGACAAATGGTATGGGGAGTCTCAGAAGTTGGCAGCTGCTGTTTTTTCCCTGGCTGTAAAGCTTCAACCCTCCATCATCTTTATTGATGAAATAGGTAAAATGATGTATTTATTTTACCTACACAATCATAGTAAAACACTGCAATAACGTAAAATAAATGCATCCCATTGGCAATTGATCCTGTGGGACAGGGATGAGCAGACTTGCTGAACAGAAGGGCCACATATAGTAAATATCAGATGTTTGAGAGCCGCAAGTTGGGTGCCCATGGGCAGCAAGCGGGCACTTGCAGGTAGTGGTTGTGGGCAGCAAGCAGGGGTCAACGGGCAGCGAGCCATGAGCTGCAAAATAAACTCAAAGAGCCACATGCATCTCCTAAGCCTGAGTTTGGCCACTCCTGCTATAGGATAAGCTCTGCTGGGTTATTCTGCAAAGTATGTGTTTTATTTTTAATAGCAGACAATGGAATCACTTTTCTAACACAGTTTACCCTGAGGAAACAGAAAAGCTATATTGCTAATACTTAATATTGGCGCATATATATATATGCGCCAATATATATATTTGTGTTTGCTATAGGAAGAAAAGGAAACGTTTTAACAGAACTTTTATTTTTATTTGGATTCAGGAATTGATAGAGTGGCAGTGCTATCTCATCTTCTCATTCTTGGTTTCTTTATATCCACTATGAAATGCCCAGTTTGGTGTTAAAAGTCACATTTATGCAAATGTTATCTTTAAAAATATTTTCACATTTTAATTTTCTTGAATTCTTGGAATACAAGCCAGATTGACAATTCATAAACTGTGAGTTTAAATTAAAACATTTAATTTATGTATGAAGCTCATGTTTTATATGCTGCATATATCTCATAAGAGCAAGCCAGGAGACATGCCAGAGAAAAATAAATTCTATACCAAGAAAATATAATTTCTCTGCTCAGAACAAATCAATGCACATGCTTCAATTGAGTGAGTAAACAAACCAAGAAGATGCCCATTGCAGCTGCACCTTGCATAACCCAGGCAACTATGACTTAGGACTTCTCAGCAAAGTAGTTTATGAAGCTATGATTTAAAATTAGTTTCCAAAACCTACAGACTTGCATACAGGTACACAAAGCTCATGCATACCCTGACTCCCATACTATGAATACATTTGTTCAGGACTTTAGAGTATTAGCATACTTTATTCTCTGTAGAATTTGCTGCATTTCCTGTTGTTTATGTAAACAGTAATTGAGTGTGAGGAGGAGAATGTATTTAGGAAAAATGCCTGAATGTAACGCTACCTGGTAGGTATGACAGGCTTCTCTATTTTACATTTTTACATTTACATAAAATAGCCATGTGTCAGCAGCATTCAGTGAGAAGGCTGAATTTACAATGATTCATGATCTGCATTGCTCAAATAGTATGGTAGTATCTCTTTTCAGGTAAGCTACATTGGACACGCACAAGAGCTTCATCATGCCTGTTGTGGTTTTTTACTTGCAACCACAGACCCCTGTGCCATAACATTAAAATTACTTGATTTTGGCATGGGGAAGGGGGAGATGTTTTAAAAATTAGAATCTCCTGGTCCTTGTATGTATCTCTGAAGCAAAAGTGCATATTCAGGGTGTCTTGATTCTGAATATGCACTCTTTTTTTAAGCCTACCATATGATTCCTACAGGACCAGAACCAAATTGCCTAGTGTGGCATTCTTTGTGAAGGACAGACAGACACTTGCAGGCATTAGATCAACCTTTCTGTTCTGGTACCATATGTTTTGGACTTCAGCTTCCATCAGCCCCAACCAACATGACCAGTGAGCAGAAATGCTAGGCATTCTATAGTCCACTGAAAACTAGCTACCCATGGACTGCAGTTTTTTTATTTCCACATTTACCATATTGTAGTCTGATTTTTAGAGGTCTCTTCAGTTTACAATATGGCTGGAGGGGACTGGGCAGGAGAGAGGTCTTCTGCATAAGAAGCCCAGCTTCACAGTTAAACATAAATAGTTGTGTGGTTCTTAGGAACTTCATTGTGTTGTATGTAACTTCTCAGTCACTGTATATTGAATAACACTTAAAGCCATATGGGTAGCCAGAGTTAGAGCAACACTTGTGAATTCTGGAATTATCATTAATAATATAAAACAGGGAGGCCATAAAGTCAAAAAGCACAACATTTCATTCCAATGTTTTCTTAAAATTCAGATTCTTTTCTACGAAGTCGTTCCAGTTCTGATCATGAAGCTACAGCTATGATGAAGGCCCAGTTCATGAGTCTCTGGGATGGACTGGATACTGACTACAACTGTCAAGTATGTACCAATTTCTCTCTTTTTAAGAGGGCAACCATAGAACACTTGTGTGACGTGGACATTGTACTGCTTTTCAGTGGTATACATTTGTATTAAGTGCACAATTCTTTCTTTCTGTAACTATAATAGCTTTATTTGGACTGTGAACAGTTCTTTGAGGATTATTTTTTTCGTTGAAGGAAAGGAAAACCATATACAATGGTTTTCACCAACTGAATGAAGAATAAGCAGCTAGTTTTTAAAGGCCATATAGGGAGATCCCCTAAGGGAGCTGTGGCTGCACAGCATGGCCTCCCAGGACTGACTTCAGTGTCTTGTAGATGGCCAAACAAGTTCTGTAAGTTTATTCTTTGCCTGTTTGATATTCAGTTTGATACTCTTTTGTTAGACTTAGTCATGCTTGGAAGGAAGTGTTGCCTCCAGATGACCTTGGCACTTTGAGATCCCTTATCTTTGAAGCTTCTCAGGCTTGAAAGACTTGAGCTGGTTATCTCATAACCACAGGATATTGTTAACGACTGGCAAAGACTGCAGAAATCAGTGGTAGAGCAGCAGAAGCATCATGCCAGCTTTGCTGTGAATAAATGGGACTGCAAACTACTGTTGAAATCTCTCTGCCCAGTAAAACAGTTGCTTGCAAGTAACAGCAGTAAATTGTGGGTTCATTTGACCCATGGTTTTCTTTAGCACAGGGCTTTCAGACTCAACTTACCTGGGGGCTGCTGGAAGTAGAGTCTGGGTGAGGCTGGGCCGCATCAAGTATTCCACCGCCACGGTGGTGGTGGGCTGCTCGTCCCGCGTTGCTCCCGGAGGCTGGCCCAGGCGCCACTGGCGCTTTGAAGGTCGCAGGTCCCCTCCCCCGTGCCCCACCCGTCCCGGCAATTGGCCCGCGGGCCGCGAGTTTGAGACCCCTGCTTTAGCATATGTTGGACATGTTCTACAACCAATATGAATATTCAAGCCCAAATTGACTCAATCAGGCATTGCTTTCTGACATTGCTCTGGACACTATATCATGGGTTAAACAACTCAGACTTAACCCAGATATTAATCATGTTTAACCCATGATTAACCTACAGTATCTGAGTTTGGACATCACATAGCAACCCCCATTGTTGGGTTCAATGTTCAGAATGTTAGCAGAATGGCACCTGACACACACACAATCTGCTACAGTTTTATACGAACTGGATCACAGTCTCATAATAGGAAGCCCCCAAAATTTCAGCTTCCATGGTGATGTGATCTTGTAAAACAAAGCTTGATTTCTTAGTACTGATGACTGGTGCTCTCTTTTCATCAGGTGATCCCTTCACTATCCTCTGCTTCAATGTGAATACATAAATATACATCTGTCAGTGTTACCTTTTTCAATCTTGTGGCATTATTTTTCCATCTCTAGGTGGCTTTCGCTCTTCTTTCATAGCAGAGAGTATTTCAAAGAATGTGTCCTTGGGATGCTTCGGACATGAGTTTTCCTATACAGAGAGCATTAGAATTGGCTTATCTGTGGCATAAGGGTATGTCCCACTGTGAGTGTACAGAGACTGTGTGTGGCTGCTGTGTTCATATGATACAAAAAATGATAAAATGTGGACCAGCACTAAGCCAGTGTCATTTGTGGTGCAGTTTTAGGAAGCAAGATTTGTATGAGTGCCCTGTTTTGAGTAAGCATAATGAATTTGAGTAACTCTCAGTCCAAGGTTTTTCTTCTCTCTTTGAGCTACTTGATTTGGAAATTGATACCTAGGTGACACATAATGCAGAATAAATAAGTATTACTCTGCACTAACTATTGATGTTAAATGTTATTTTCTTCTCTGCTCTGATAAGTTTGAATATCTGAAACCACATTACTTTTTGAAATGTATTGACCCTGGGGGATCAGTGTGCTTGGATGCTGATCAAATAATGTAGCTAATGCCATACTCAAGATAGATGGCAGAAGTAACATATTTATTACTAGCAGTTAAATATAGAGGTGGATGGCAATTTAGTAATGATTTCTTAAATTTGCCCTTTATTACAATATGTAACTAATGTGATAATTTCTTATGTTTTGGAGACGTACCTGTTTTGGTGCAAATTGTGATAGAGCTTTCAAATCAGTAGCCTTAAAACATTTTAGTAAGTTCTGGGACATACTGCTCATTAAAGTATGTTTTTCTAAGCTTGCACTCAAATAAATTTTAGTGAGGTTCATCATATTCATTCTTCTAATGTGCAAAAAACAAATGAACAGAGGTGAGTCAAATTTTTGAGAGTCATTCTTCACATCAACATTTGCATTTTCAGTGAAGGGGAGCCTTCCTGTGTCATATAACAAAAAATTAAATCTAATTTTCATCCAAGTTTTGGACATGGCACGGCTCAGGACTGTGGAGCAGAAATGTTGCTAGCCTTTTACATCTCTGTGATCATCTGCAGCCTCTGAACTAACCTGTGCAGCACCCTTCAGGGAAGTTCTGCCCACTGAGCAAGGGAGCTGTGCATCTCATCCACTTGTATGACTGAACTCAAGAAAGCTGAGTCAAAGAAAGAAAGAATTGACCGTGTTTCCAGTCTTGCTTCTTTTTTGTTCTGTTCTGTTCTGTTTTTTGTTTTAAATAATACTTAGGTGATAGTGATGGGAGCTACTAATCGCCCTCAGGATCTTGACTCTGCTATTATGAGAAGAATGCCTACAAGATTTCATATCAACCAACCTGTAAGTCACTGAAGATTTATCAACAGGGGGTTGTGCACCATGTATTGAAGATAAAGTATTATAGCCCATCCTCTTTTGGTTAGTTGCTGGTTGTTATGGTGTAGTTTATATTTTCTGTCCAAAGGGCCCCTTAAGTAGCATATGACACACTGGGCCTGTTCACATGTGACAAGTCATCCATTTTAAAAAACGGACTGTCAGGCTTGTTTTGTGCATGAGTAGGATTGAAGGACTGAAACTGCCTTGGTCGCCCTGTATGATGACCTGTGCTGGGAGAGGGATAGGGAGTGCATCCCTGTTGGTTCTCCTGGACCTCTCAGCAGCTTTTGATACCATCATCCATGGTATTCTTCTGGATAGGCTGGCTGAGTTGGGGATTGGAGGCACTGCTCTGCAGTGGTTCCACTCCTTCTGGCTGATTCCAGAAGGTGGTGCTGGAGGATTATGCTCTGCAGCAGGTCATTTTATCCCTCATGCTGTTTAACACCAACATGAAACTGCTGGGGGAGGTTATTTGGAGGTTTGGACTGAGGAGTCATCAGTACACTGATGACACCCAGCTCTACCTCTCTTACATCAAATCTAGGTAAAGCAGTGGCTGTGCTTAACCAGTGTTTGACTAGTGTGATGAGCTGGATGAGGTCCAATAAACTGAGCCTTTATCTAGATGAAATGGAGGTCCTTTTGATGGACGGCTCAGCTTTCCAGATAACTGATTTTCACCCTTTTCTGAACAGGGTTGCACTCTCCGTAAGGGACAGGGTGTGTAGTTTGGGAGTGCTCCTTGACCCAGAGTTATCCTTGGAGTTCCAGGTGACTGCTGTGGCCAGCAGCACTTTCCACCAGCTTCATCTGGTCCATGAACTATGTCCTTGGATGAGCCTAGCTACAGTGACCCATTCGCTGGTAACCTCCCAATTGAACTATTATAATGTGCGCTACATGGGACTGCTCTTCAAGACAGTCCAGATACTTCAGTTGGTCCAGAATAGAGCAGCCAGACTTTTGATGGGGACCAGTAGGTATGTGCACATAACACCAGTCCTTTGCTTTCTGCACTGGCTCCCAGTTGAAGTCTAGGCCCAATTTAAGCTATTATGACTTACAAAGCCCTACACAGTTTAAGCACTAGGTATCTGAAGGAATGTCTCCTTCCTTATACACCTGTCAGCCCCCTAAGATCTGGGACAGAGGTCCTTCAGGAGCCCTCTCTGAAGGAGATCAGAATAGGGGTTACCCAGAGAAGGTCCTTTTCTGTGGTGGCACCCTGGCTTTTGAACATGCTCTCCAGAGATGTGTGCTTGGTGCCAGTGCTTTATTCATTTTGATGCCAGGCCAACCCCTTTTTATTTTCCCAGTATTTTAAGATTTGATTGATATTTTAATACTGGGTTTTTAGCAGATGTATATCTTATTCTGTGCTGCCTTTTTGTTTGTTTGCATTGCTGTGCTGAGACCCCTTCAAAGGACAGGGCAAAAATGCTATAAATAATTTGATACACTGCCAGCCCCGTCTGATGAGGAACACCCCAATGGCATGTATAGGAAATGCAGAACAGCATGTTGTTCAAGTACTGTACAGGAGATGTAGTATGGGACTTAACAAGGAAATACTGCTTGACATCTGCAAAAATCTAAGAATATTCTTATTTTGTAACATTGCTGTGTTTTGTCTGCCATTTAAAGGCATTGAAGCAGAGAGAGGCAATCTTGAAACTGATTTTGAAAAATGAAAATGTAAGTTAATTGTTTCAGCAAGATGTTTTTCTGATACGATATAACTTGAAACAATTTTGCATGTATATTACAGTGTTAAGGAGCTGTGGGTTTCATGGTAGTGGACATGTAGGTTATTGTATTGTTGTAATATCTACCTGCCCCTTGAAATCTGGATATGAGGCCCTTCTGAAAGACCCATCTCTAAAGGACGTGAAAGGGATGGCAATTAGAAGGGCCTGCTTGGTGGCTGCCCTCCTGCTTTGGAATGGGCTTGCGAGAGAGGTCCCCCAGGTGCTTTTTTCATTTTGGTGCCAGGCAAAAACTGCCCTCTTTTGTAGGTATTTTGAGACCTGATGATACCAACTGGTTATCTATAAATGCTCATTCTACTATCAGCAGTTGCCCCACTCCGCAATAACTAGGAATTGTAATGTTGGTCTGCATTTTATTGTTGTTCTCTGCTTAGAGAACCCAGTCAGGTTATCCGGTGACCTATAAATTTAAAAATAAGTAAATAATATCTAATAGCTATCAGTTAAGCCAAAAGGACTCTACTTAGGTTGTAGCCTTTGTTGATTTCTTTCCAGTCCTGCCTCAACCTGAACTATTCTATGCTCTGTGTAAAATAGTTTCATTGTACTTACGTATGCAACTTTTTATTTGCTGATAGGTGGATGGGCGTGTTAACCTCCTCGAAGTTGCTAAAGAAACAGATGGGTTCTCAGGAAGTGACTTGAAAGAGATGTGTCGTGATGCTGCACTGTTGTGTGTCAGGGAATATGTTAATTCTACATATGATGAAAGGTACCTCATATTGACATTATATAGAGTCTTAGTGAGAAGATTCAGAATCAAGTGGCTGTCTTTACCATTCCTGGAGAGAACAATTTTAGATGTAGCTATCTGCACATAGAGCAGTGGAAAGCAGGAAGTACTTCCTATCTCCACACTCTTGATATAGAAACAATTTGCACATCTCTGCATGGAGTGGGTGGGAAGAAAATATTCACTAGTTCCCTTTTGGGTGCTTTAAGGAAGTCCAAAGGACAGGAAGTGAGAGTCACTCAGTGATATGATTGTTCCAAGAAACTACATTATATAGATAAACATAATCAGTCCTCCTTTGTGCGTGCGTGCATGTGTGTTCTGCTCTTTGTTATTGAAGATTAGGGTATCCCACCTTTTTAATTTATTACTATATTTATGGGGAGGGGGGAAACCTTGGTGATAAACATTACAGTATAAGATTATGATTATACATTTTATAGTACCATCTTTCCCTTGCTGGGAATGCTTTTGGACCAAGCACGATTCAGTAAGCATCAAAAACAGTGCCAGGAACTGCAGAAAGCAGATGCTGTGACATGGAAGAGCCTATTCTGATCCATCTTGGACTGGACTTCCAAAATGTTTGGCATTACCAGAAGGGTACATTTTGATGAAAATAGCAACTAAACAGGCAGGTGGAGGGTTCTGCTATCTTGAGTATCATTTTAAAGATGTGTCATGCTGCACTTGAGTCACCTTTTTGTGTGTGTCTTTTTGTCTGTGTTTCTTTCAAGCAATGAAGATGATGAAATTCGGCCAGTGCAACAGAGGGATTTGCTCCGGGCAGTTGAGAAGATGAGAAAATCGAAGGATGCAACGAATCAGAATGTTCTAATGCACGTTAGTTTAGACTAAGGCTAAGGGATGTTCTACCATGGCCTTGTTGGGTGACTATGTGATTTAGATGAGAGAAATCAATTGGAAGAAAAAATAAATGTTTCTGGAATTGTTTTTATATGCTAATATCTAAGTTATTGAAATTAGTATCTTGAAATTTGGATATGGACTCTGTGATCATGACACGGAAGAATGTAGTCCAGCTTGAAGGCAATGTCCTATTCCCTTGTTGCAGCCTTAAGTCTGTTGGTAGGTTCTACTGTGGCACATTATGGGGGTTTTTGGTGGGGAGTGGGGAACAGAACTTATGTATATATGTATGAGAGAATGTGTGTGCACATGTGCACAGAATTTGGGGGTGTGGGTGTGCATTGGTGCGGGTGTGCACATGTGTATGTGTGTGTATATATAGTCACACAGTTTTATATATAAATATATGTAGATAACTTGAATATGAAAAGCCTTTACTTTTTGTTTTACTTATTTCTGGATCAAACTGAACAGGACAATTAAATGATTCATGACATTTTCCTATTTTTCTTTACCTTAATACAAAGGCAGAATTCTGGTTTTGGAAACATTTTCTCCTTTAACCACTTTTAATTTATGAGAACCACTGGTGCCACTAGAGCCAATCTGCACTAGTGACAACTTAGGTAGAGAACATACATAAGGCTGATTAACTTCTCAATTTTATATGAATTCAATAAATTGTATTATTTTAAATATTTTTATACTGTCAGAATTAACTAATGTGACATTCTGGCAACTGCATATCACCAAAATTTATTTTTCTATTCCTGAATGGTGAATAATTTTCTTTCTTTAAGTATCTTAGATAGGAGCACCATTGCTAAAATTCCTTTATTGCTGCTGTAATACTTACTAGCAGTGGTAAATGGACACAACAGAAGATTATGGCATTATGTACACAGATTTGAATTATATAGTTTGCCTAGTTCCCTTCCTATCCTTATCTTGCTTGTTAAGTAGCTCTTCATGTTCAAATATTCTTCATAGCAGAAATAGAATGGTGAGTTTCAGGATTAATAATGAAAATTCATTCCTTTTTTTTCCTACCCTACATTTCAGAGTTATCCATTGTCAAGATGTAACTATTCCAATAAGAATAATTGGAATGCACTGAGAACATTCATACCTTTGACAAGCACTTGTTACACATTTAACAGTCATTGGAATGAGCTTTGGAAAAACTTTGCTTAAATTATGGAACTGAAGAACTGAACCTAGAATTTCATCAGCTCAGTTTATAACTTGATTCTGGTTATTCTTGCAGGTGCTAAGTTGAACATAACCATAACTCGCGATATTCTTGAAAGTTACATTCATTTGTTTTCCCAACAGAAGAACAAAAAACCTTCAAGATGGGTTTTGCTTTAAAAAAAAATCCTAGTGCATGAGTCTTTAGTAACCAACAGTTTGTCTGCTGAAGCAGTTCTTATGAGTTTTAACTGGATCTGTCCAGATAGGAACTCTGTTTCTTCAAGTGGCCCATCAGATATTCCTGGGAATGATATGTTTAACAGCTTCTGAGTTTTCTTTAAAAACAATTATTTGCATTTCCTTCTGGATTTGAGTTGTATTGTGTATGAACATTGAGGTAGTATTTCTTGCTTTCACAGCTAGTTCCATCAATAGGTCCATCTTACCAAGTTCTTAAAAAGTCTCTCTATGCTAGTAAATTTTGCAACATTAAATCTTGGATTGATGAGGTCCATAAGTAAATTGTGACAAGGTATTTGTTTTGTATTGGAAATCAATTTGGGTTTTTTGTTTGGTTGGTTGGTTGTTTTTGGCAGTTGAGTATTTGTGTTTTGAAAGAGTGAATGTCCTTTTTTTCCTGACCATGCCTTTGCGTTATTTCACCTTATTTACTATATTTCAATAAAACCACAGAATACAATATCAGTATACTTCTTTGAGCATGTCATAGAGATGCTGCCTGTTTCTACAATTTACTTTGCCTTGTAAACAAAAAAGTCACATGAGTTGAGCTAAAGTTGTCAAGTAATAGCAGGCCTATACCATAACTTGCACTAAAAGTGATGGCAGTTCTCTGCAACAGACTTGATGGATATACTTCCTTCTGACCCTATAGATAGATCTTGCCCTGGTCCTGTGCAGTATGCTATTAATTTCAATCAGTTGTAGATTACATCTGAAAAATGTTTTATCCCATTTTAGTTGCTTGTGCTTCCTAATTTGCAGTGGGAAAATAAAATTTGGGGACTATTTCTGAGTTCCTTTTAGGGATAATGGCAAGGATTGAAAGGTCAGAGCAGCTCGGGCAATTCAGCACAGCCTTATTACTGCCACAGGAAAACTAGATGCCCATACAAGGCTCTTGCAATACTGATCAATATCTGCAGTTCATAATAGGACCTCTCCAGTTGATAGCTATGCGTTAGATTGATTGAGGGTAATCTCTTGACTCATATAACAGGAAAAAAATAGATAGTTCTGCCGTATTTCCCAGAATGATTCTTTGGGTATGTATTCTTGGATATATTCGTTTCAAATTAATTCAGTGAAGCTTGGGGTTTTATCCTCTTTGGCTTTAAGGACTCCCACGGCTCCTTTCCTACATGTACCTGGATGTTGAATCAGAGACTAATTCCTCAGTGCTAGCAATAAGAGCAGTCCTTCATTTGCTAAGATGCTATCACCACATCCATCTCACACATGTGCTAGATATGATCTGATGCAAGCTGATGAAAGTTCCTATTCAAGCTTTTTATTGACTCCCTCAAAAGGCACTTATTAGCTATAATGTTTATCTTGCCAAATTGTCCAAATGTAAGTATGCTTTTAGAAGAACATAATGACTTGGATCCTAAGTTCATGGAAGCATTGTTTCCTGCATTGTCCTCCCTGCTACACTCACCTCTGTCCATTGAAGTTTCTCCAGATGGTTGGGTCTGGAACAATGTAGGGTGTGGGGGGCCAGGGGTTGTTTGAGGGACGAGTTTGCCTATTTTTGAGCACTTTTTACCTCCATGCTAAAGTGGAAATTGTGTGCCTAACTTCCTTTGGATTGGGGTTTTATTTTTAAGGCCTTTATGACACCTGCCCTTCTACTTATACCTTTATCCTGCCCACACTAATACATCCTAGCAATCTTTCACCATTTTTGGTGAAGCAGCTCACATTTTGCTGTAACCAAGATTGTTCTTGAATAATTACAGGGCTCATTCATAATTTTCTGATTTACACTTAGGAATTTTCTTAGCATACATTGCACTATTAAGGTCCATTCTCCACCAGTTATTGCTCACCTGTTCTGGAGAAATCCTTGTGGTGCTTCTTGACCTCTGAATTTATTATATAGGTTGAATTGCCATGTTAAACAATAATCTTCCTAACATGGTGAATGAAGGAGCAGGGGCTGCCCAGCTCCTTTGTGTCACTGAAATTGTGGTGCTGGGGCTCTGCATGCAACCTTCATATGTATAGTTCTTGAAAAGTTCAGTTGAGTAAACAAGGCATGTATGCAGAACTTTTCCATGGTGCTCCTGATTCGTGTTCCTCTGTGTGCATGTGTACATGTGTGTTTGAGTGTGCCAGTGGGGAAAGAAGTGTTTACTTAGTCCTCCACTTTGTGAAGAGGATCCCAGTCTGTCTAAAGTGATCTTATGAACAGTACTTTCCTTGGTCACCATTGTTTATCCTTCCCTTTCTTGAAAGCTAAACAGTTTTGTCTGCTGTTTCTTTTCTCTATATACTTACACTGACTTAAGACCCTCCTGTTTTACTTGAAGAAGCTTGACTCTTCAGACATTCAAGAGACAGTAAAATAAGTGCTTTATATGCTATTGCCTGAATACAAAAGTATCCAAAAGGTCATAAGAAAGGACACTTCTATTGCTGACAGAAAAATGTAGGCTTCCATAAGAATCTATAAGGAGGTCCCAAAATGTTTGAAAAATGAGACTGGCCTTGACTGTAGTTGAGTAGAGAAGGAAGCAATAAATGACACAATTGCAGCAGAACACTGGAAACTGCTTTTTCTATGTGCCACTGCTAAGGTTTTCCAAGTAAAACTATCTAATATCACATAGGCTAAGTGTAAACAAGGAAACACAAATAGAAAGTTTTATTTGGACTTGTTTTGAAAAGCAAATACTGATTTTGTGTTTAATTCCCTGAGCAGTGGCTCAAGCTAGTAAGATTTTTTTTCCATTTCATTTCGTTCCATTCCATTCCATTTTTTTCCTATAAGGGCCATATATTGGAGTTCCTGATATAATGCATGCTTTGTAAAAGCAGCTGTGGGGAGCCTTGATTTAAGTTGCAACTGAAATGTGGTTGGGACATTATGATTTCCATATTTGCTGCAGGAGGATCTGATCCAGATCTCTTTCCTAAGCAGCTGTTAAGCACCGAAAGGAAAATCTACACACTTAAGTTTTAAGGATAAGTAAGGCATGCTGGGAGTTGTAGATCTTTTCTCTCTCTAAGCATACAGGAGTTTGTGCCAAGTCTCCAGTCATGAATCACACTAATTAGGGAGTAGTGGGACTTAATTCTGAGTATGCCTGTTGAGTATTGTGCTGCAAGATTTTCTCTACAGGCGAAGAGCTTCACTGGCCGTATGCACAGGACACAGTACAGGAAAAAAGGACTTAGACCTCAACCTCAATCTAGATTGCTTTTTGTTTAGGAAAATACAATTCTAATGTAGCATGTATTTTAATCCATATAATAGTATTCGCTTTGGGTTAATGTCAGTTTGGATTAATTTGCTCCCATTAGCACGCAGTCGTCATTTCTCTAGACTTTGGACAAAGTTGTAGCATGGCCCTTCTCCTACAAATGCTTCTGGAAAACTGCAGGACTGATTTAGTAGCTTCCTTGGATTCTTACATTTTCGGTTGTCCAATTTACAGTATGCCATTGATACATGTTTATTATATATCCACACACAAATGCCCTTTAGACCCTGCTCCCCCTCTGTGGGATCTAGGAACAATTCTATGTGGGGTGGACACAATATGCCTGAATGGTTTAGGGCACAATGTCCTTGCCTTTCCGTATTGGGACCTACTTCCTGCACACAAGTAATGCCGTCAAGAAAGGCAGGTTGCTTACCTGTAACTGTTGTTCTTCAAGTGGTCATCCATGCATTCACACACCAATGGGGCCTGACACACAGCGTGGGCCTCATCCGGTGGAAAATTCCAGAGCTGGTCGCCATGGAGTGGGCAGCAGCAGGGACTGCCCTGCACTCCGAGTGGTACATAGGTGGCGGCTCCCACCCATTCCCTCAGTGCTTGAAGACCGCGCTGTCCCTGGCGTGCAAGGGATCATCATGTATGGAGCGGCGATAGCACCCTGCCCCGGCCTGTATGGGGCGGAAGCTGATGATAGCCAGCGGGGCGGAGGGTGGGTTGTGTGAATGCATGGATGACTACTCGAAGAACAACAGTTACAGGTAAGCAACCTGCCTTTCTTCATGGTCTCCATGCAAATCACACACCAATGGGGTGATTAGCAAGCTGGCCCCTCAGGAGGAGGGAGGCTATCATCACCGCAGTATAGAAGAGAGGACAGCCCTTCCAAAAGCGCAGTCCTGTTTGGCACGGACTTCTAGCCGGTAGTGGCGCACGAAGGTCGACGGTGTGGACCATGTCGCTGCCCTGCAGATTTTCTGGAGGGGAATGCCTCCACTAGAGCAGTGGATGTGGCCTGGGCACGTGTGGAGTGCGCACATGGCTGTCCAGTCATTGGGATCTTGGTCATCTCCTAGGCGAAGGTGATGGTGTTAGAGACCCATTTGGATAGTCTCTGGCTGGAGACAGCTTCCCTGGCTTTGGGGCCCTTGTAGCATATGAAAAGGCGCTTTGAGCGGCAGATGGTCTCAGTCCTGGACCTTTAGTAGGTGAGGGCCCTTCTGACGTCTAGTAGATGCAGTGTGGCCTCAATGGGGGTGGACGGGTTGGGGATGAAGGCAGGCAGGATGACATCCTGGTTCAGGTGGAACGAAGATGCCACCTTTGGGACAAAGCTTGTGTCTGGACGAAGTACCACCTTGTCCCTGTGAAGGGAGCGTCGATCCGAAGAGCTGCTAGCTCACTGGCATGTCGGGCTGATGCGATGGCCACCAGGAAGGCAGTCTTCCAGGACAGAAGCCTAAGGTGCGTTGTGGCCATCGGTTTGAAGGGCCTCTTTGTGAGGGCCTGCAGGACTAGAGAGAGGCTCCAAGAGGGGGAGTGGGACTGGGCTGGTGGGGTAAGGTTGCGGAGGCCCCGGAGGAAGCGGCATGCCAGGGGGTGAGCAAATACAGAGGACCCTTGTACAGGGGAGTGGAAGTGGGAGATGGCCACTAGGTGAAACCTAATATTTTATTTTGTATTGGTGTTTTTGTATTTTTAACTTAATGTTTATATTTTTTTTTAATTTAATGTTATAATTATTTTTTATCTTATTGTTGTAAGCCGCCCTGAGGCTTCGGCGAATGGGGCGGCATAAAAATGCTTTAAATAAATAAACAAACAAACAAATAAGGGAAGAGACCCGCTGCGAAGTGGGATTGCAGGTACTCCAGCATGTGTTCCATGGAGGCTTGGGAGGGGTCAAGGCCCTGTGCTGCAGTGGAAGGTGAGAAGGTTTTCCACTTAGCCTTGTAGTAGCGGCGGGTGGAGGGTTTGAGGGTGGTCAATAGCACGGTGGTGACGGCCTGAGGTAGGAAGCCATAGTCTTCTGTCAGGGGGGTATTTTCCAGGCTGTTAGGTGCAGGGTCCTGAGGTCGGGTTGCAGGACCCTGCCCTGGTCCTGGGAGAGGAGGCTGGACCTGAAGGGCAGGTGGTAGAAGGTGTTCCCTGACAGGCGAAGGAGGAGAGGGAACCAGGGTTGTCTCGGCCACCAGGGGGTAATTAGGATGCTGCTGGTTCCCTCCCTCTGGAC